AAAACAAGTATCTTCTTGAAGTCCCTCAAATTAAGGTAAAGAATAAGAACAAATCATTCTGGAGGAATGCAAAGGAAAATAGCTTTAGATACTTAAGTGACAATAGAATTTATTCTCATAATTGTTTTAATAGCTTTTGTATAATCCTCATCGCTATTATGAGATATAAAATGTATTTATCAAATCTGTAATCATTATGCCAAAAAATCTGAATTACTGTGATAATGTTATATTAATAAAAACTGTAACTTTAATTGTAAAAAAAAATTAAAATAAAAAAAAATAATAATATAAACAAAATATTTTAACTCTCTTTTTAGATATTTTATGATAGGTTTTAGGATAGTTGTATTAACACATACTGGAAATATATGTTCACTACAATAAACCCTAAAGTTATCACTGCATTACCAGTATACTTGTGAGTTATTAAAATGAAGATCTACTGTGTAACGACTAAAATAAAACCTCAGTTATGTTTTTATTAATATAACATATTTCTAATAGAAGACAGCTAACTGAAACCTTTTTTTTACTAGCGAATTAATTCAATCAACGTTTTGGTGCCATAATTTGTAGGTCATAGCTACACTTGTAATCCACAGTTATAAGATACACAGTATTTCCAAGTTATTTGTGTTTTTTCTCATGATTATAAAATGTATTATATGAATGCAAGTGATAAAAATTGAGTATTTATCTTCAGTAAAGATTGGAAAATGCTATTTTTGTTTCATATTTCTGAAGTAACAAATCCTACTGCTTACAGAGAGGTGAGGAAATTGAAGGGCTTTACCCCGTATCTTGGATATACTCTGATCTATTAAAAGAGGTGACTGTACAAGGAAGCAATTATAACACAGCCACCATAAATGCCACCATACTTGTTTTGATGTTTGTTTTGTTACAGCAAAAGCATGACCACAAGGAAAGAGGGTCTTTCAGACATCTGGGAACTTATTCATATGAACCCAGAGCAATGTAACAATATACCCAAGACCCACGCAAGATTCAAGCCAGACAAAAATTCCAGCATAAAATTAGGGAAGTGGTCAGAAGCCTCAACCTTAGCTGGTGAAGTACTGGCAACTGATAACTATGGAGAGATGGAGAGTTGGTCTTCTTTAACATTGCAGCATTCAAGAGGTTAACTAGGATCCAGGGGATGGATGTACACCAGGCACACCGGAGTACATTTTGAGACACAAACTTGACTCAATAGGACTTAATATATATGACGGAGTACATGAAATCTGGTGTGTGAGTGTGTGTGTGGGGGTAATAAGAAGGGGTGCAGATAGGTGAGGGGATCTAAATATGATCAAAATATATTGTGTGAAATTCACAAAAATTCAATGAAAAAGATCTAAGTAATAACTAAGACAAAAAATTATCTTGTCTGCAGTAGAGTAATGTTATGGGTGCTATTATGAGAGTGATGTACATGTTTTATTCTTGTGTAATAAAAACTATAGTAGAGAATATGGATGAACCCAACTTCTTGGAGTATTATGTCAAATATTATTAATAACAGCTAAGTACATTTATGATTTGAGACAGTTTTACAGACGACTAGTGATTTATTGGTTTTAATACATTGTACTATACATCAGATGCTATCTCCTAGTATTCTATAACAGGGAGAAGAAATAATACCCCTTCTTTCAATTATTTAGAATATCATTCCACATTGTGGCATAAAACCTTTCATAATAAGAAGACATTTTCCTTAATTGAATACTATATTTCTATCTATTAAATGTTTTCTGAGTAATAATTTTAAAGGCAGATTGATAATATACATTTTCTAGGTAAATATGTTTAGAGGAAATTGTTCACATTGAATAAGTGGTTTGATTTTGAACATAAAATTACAGGCATACTTGTGACAGGAGCCCAGGAAATGGAGACTGAAACATCAAGATCAACAAGTGAAAGTCAGTTTGAAGAAAAAGACTGGAAGCCCTTCCTTGCCTGGACTTCATGTAATGAACAGAGCATGCTCTAGAAAAGCCCCACATACAAAGTTGGAGAGCGGAGTGCTATGCAAGTGTCCTATAATGGGCTGAATCCCCATGGCCCAATGTTGGGCCTCTCTCAACTCATGGCCCTCTCCCATTTCTGGGTGTGCTTTCCCTTTCTGAATAAAGGATCCCAACTTCTATTTCTAATAGCATGTCCCTGGTGAAATCCTTTGTCCTGGGAAATAAGAGCCTGGAATGGGTTGCCCTCCTAACTTAGATCTGGAGACGGTTTTCCTTTTCCTTCTTTTTATCTTTCTTTCTCTCAGAAACTGGTCCAAACCCTATGCATGCTTTCTCAGAAGCCCTTGGCTTTCTCACTGTTTTTCTGCTCTCCGTGCCTAACTTAAAAGCTATGACTTTCTTCTCCTCTACCTCCCATCTTCTGGCATCTATGAAGGTATATTGCTGACTGCCCTGTTGTTTTTCTCTCAAACTTTAACAAAATTGTCTCCAACCTTTCTAAGTCTATTCTTACATTCTTTTTATTAATGAAAGTGAGAACTCCAAAGGTAACCATTAGTGTAAAAAGAGCTCAAATTCAAGATTACTGATGAATGTGAAGAATAAAATTTGTCTGACTTACACATTCAGTTTGATGCCAATAATATATCTGAAGCCAACTGTCAAGATCGCGGGCCCAGCTCTTTTAACATCTTCCCTCAAATGTCAACATTGACTTCCTTTGTGACTTCTACTGACTGGATACAATGCACAGAAATGGATTTAATAGTATTTATTTTATCCTAGTTATTTGAAAATCAGTAAGATGTATAACTTTATATAGTTCATTATCTTTTGGCTACAATATTTAAAAATCAGTATATCCACTTTTCCCCACACTTTAAAAACTAAAGAGTTGCTTTTAACAGTATCAATTAACATTAATGAAATTCAATTTTCTTAATTCTATAGTGTTATTATTTCTGTGAGGAATTTGATTGATTCCAATATTATTTTTCAAACAGAATTCCATAATGAAAATTTTTACTGGAAAGATTTTACTTACAGAAGCAGTTATTTTAGTATCTTACTGGATTATATTAATGGCTCTCTACTTAGATAACAGCCTTATCTAGAGGTGTGTATTTCAAAAGTATTCTTTTTAAACTGAAGACTTTTCTAACTATTTTAGAATATGGTGACTTTGATATAATGCATTCTAATCAGTTCATCACAGATGGATGATTAATGATTACACATCAGGATGCTTTAAAAGAATTTAGATTTTGCAGACTAATGCTTGGCTTCTCTGGAACTGATGAAATCATAAATTGACTTGAGGAGGAAGAAGCCAGTGAATTCCATGAGTCACTTTATATCATTTATTTTGGGGAAATAATAAAATACATAGTTAGATCGATCCAACTTGTCTTTAAAAAATGAGTTACAACTTCATTTTTCCATTGAGAATAAAGGTTTAGTTTTGGATTGACAAAAATGCAAAGGAGCCTTAAAAAGTAACATAAATTCTCAATTCCTGCATCATTAATACTTCATAGGAGTTCATAAATGCATTTAGGTAACAAAGAATGTGAGTAACTTGATAGTCATCAAGAAACTGTGAAATGTCACCTTTACATCAAGAGGAGTAAAGGTTAGGTGCCTGGTAACTCAATGAATGAACTGGACTGACAGCCATGAGTGAGGGCTACTCCAAGTGTTAACAAACTTGAAAGTTAGATCATACGCACTGGGTCCTTTGAACACATAAAAGTTCATAAAATTAGTTTTAACTAGTCTTTGTTCTAACAAACTTCTTGGTGGATTGTGTGAACTTTTATGAATACAAATGTTAGATCAAGTACAGGTTCCATTCATTATGCAGATTTTTAACTGCCAGTAATTAAAAAAAACAGAGTCCAACAAATGAAATACAGTAAAAAATGAAATATTTATTCTTTTGGCTCAATAATGAAGTAGCTCACCATTCTTTTAATAGCAATTCCCCGCATGCAGTTCATCAGTACACTACAGTAAATAGTTTTGTAAAAGTAATGTTAATGTTAATACATTAAACTTTTGGTTTGTGCAAAAAAATTATATCATGTTAGGTAATTGTACAACTTTGCCACTTTGTTCCTGGCTAAAAAGGACAGAGCCCATGTTATATCTGTAATAGCTTTAGTGCAGCAGGAATTAAAAAAATAAGCCTAGTCTGCATATGCAAATACTACAAAAGTTGAGTTAAAAAAAACAAACTTTCATGAATGAAGGATTATCTGCAGGCAACCATAGTTGGTAGAAAATGGTCTAGGTTTGAGATTTAATCAACATATCTCTTATTAGAATGGTAGAAAATATATTATAACAAATAAATCCACAAAAACCCGTGTCTAACTTTTATTTTAGGAAATAATCTGCTGAAAAGTCTTATGGATTCAAAAGTTTGGAAACTTGATTAAAAATAAAAAGTAAAAGCATAAGGTAAAATAAATTGCCATGTCATCAACCTGAAAATAACTTTCTTATGTACAAATGCTGACAAAGAAAATTGATCATATTTTACATTATATATATTTAAACAAGTTTGGATATCTTTTAGGCAAAATATGAAGAGTAGACTTTCATTAAATAGGCCCTATGCAGTGTGTCTCCTTGAAGTCAAGAGAGATACATTTATGATGCTCAAGTTGATTAACGATGCAAAAGTAAAGGTGCTTTAAAATAATTTCTATTATATTTTTCTTGGCATGTAGACAGAGAGCAGGTTGAGTTCATTCTACCACCAACATGTGACTCTTCTAACCAAGACTTGTGGAAAATGGATTGATTAAAATAGAGCAGCTTAGGCAATATTAACATGCATTAGTGATAGCCTTCCAACTATTTCTGCATAATGATCAGTATAGGATACCTCCCTTTAGGAAGCTTGCAAAAGACACATACACTGTGGTACATATTTGATTTAATAGAAGTTGTTTATCAGGCTATATATATATTTATATATATTTGCCCAAACATGCACCACAGGATAAAATAACTATTTACATAACAGAGGGTATTTAAATGACATAACCTGCCAGCTTTGCTGAGAGCAGAAGACGGCAAAGCAATGCTGCAGCAGAAAGCAGGACATCTCCTCTAAAGGGATTCTTTAGCTAGACTTTTCTAAAACATTTATTATATAACTTTTGGGGGTAAACATTTAACCAAAATGAACTATAGAGCTCTGGAACTTAGAATAAAATATGCACTTGCTGAAACAGAATACTTTGCATAAAAATAATCCTTTAAATATTAGAGGAGATTTTACAGGCACGTAACTGCTCAGAGAGAAACAAATACAACCGACTAAAACACTTGCACAGTTAACACCATCCAGAAAATGGAAGTACTTGAAACTGTTAACATTAGAAGTTTTTCTAGTTTTGAGCAAGAATTTCATCTCTCAGGCAAAATATTTTTTTTGTGATTACTGGAGAAACTTGTGGAATGGGAATATAGGGTTCTTACATAATTTTTCCCCTCAACATTAAACCTCATTTACAAAAATAGTGGGATAGCATTATGAATAAACTATGAATTAGGGACCAAGGAATTCCACTAGGACAAATTTTGTAAAAATATGGCAGATGTGGAAGTTAAAAATAGAATGGATGGAGTGCTGGACTAACGGTGTTTGTTGGTGTTGCAATGGTCGCTTTCACAACTATCCCTATAGTGTAGGTAGCCATGGAGTTCTCCTCAGCGGTGTCAGCAGGTAATGGAAACAGCAACCTCTTGTCAATGTTGATACCCTGTCTCACAGAGTGGCAGTGACAGAGGTCACTGTCTTGTATAGGCACTGACCATGAGTATTTGTTGAAACAGTCAGTTTGGCATGGATCTCCTCTGGGAGTCCAGTTGACACATACACTTTACCTTCAGAGGCTGTAAACAATTGATTGCAAAGACATTTCTTTCTTTCTCTTTACTTTTGATTTTCTCTGACCTCTTTCCCTTTGCTTTCCTTTTCTGGTTTGTCTTTCTCAAACTTTTCCTTGTCTGGTTTTGTTACACTATCATAGGAAGGAGGAGAGGTGGTAGAGGAACTTCCATCTGTCTTTTCTGGGGTGGAATTCCCATTTAATTTGTCAATAACCATATCTCCTTTTATAGGCAAGTCAATCCTCCCTTTGATTGTCTCTTTGTTATATTTACCTGATATGTCTTTTAACCTTTGCTTTAAAAGATAACATCTGTAATTACGCTGAATGATAGCAGCAGATACCTCCTCTTGTTTGCGTTTCAAAGTGGTGGTAATTGGCTCATAAGAGACTTTGGAGGGATTTGATGCCATAAACCTATCTTCCATCTGTATGCGGAGGGCATCCATCTCTCCACTCTCACCCAAAACCCGCTTTGTAAAAGCAAATAAGATGTCCAGGCAGTGGATCCGGTCTCCACTGACCATGGGCAGGTCCATGGCGATGAGCTGGACTTTGTTGGGCTTTGCGATAAGCAGAGGAGGATCCAGCGCGGCTGCAAAGTCAGAGAGCTTGCAGAATTCTATGAACTGAGTGGCATCAGGGTCGAACTTCTCCCAGACCTCGTAGAACATCTCAAAGTCGTCCTCGCTCAGGGGCTCTGCACTCTCTTCAGTGGCAACGCTGAAGTTCTCCAGGATGACGGCGATGTACATGTTCACCACAACCAGGAAGGAGATGATGATGTAGCTGACAAAGAAGAAAATCCCGACGGATGGGTTCCCACAGTCCCCCTTCACTGAGCTTCCAGGGTGAATTGTGTCAGGGTCACAGTCGGGAGGCGCACTGTTCAGAATAGGAGCTAGGAGTCCATCCCAGCCCGCAGAGGTGGTGATTTGGAACAGGCAGATCATGCTGTTGCCAAAGGTCTCAAAATTGAACATGTCATCAATTCCAACTTCCCTCTTAACATAGGCAAAATTGGACATTCCAAAGATGGCGTAGATGAACATGACCAGGAAGAGCAGGAGGCCGATGTTAAACAGAGCAGGAAGTGACATCATCAGAGCAAAGAGCAGCGTGCGGATCCCCTTGGCGCCTTTGATCAGACGGAGGATTCGGCCAATCCTGGCCAGGCGGATCACACGGAAGAGGGTAGGGGACACAAAATACTTCTCTATCATCTCAGCAAGAAACATTCCTGTGGGAAAATACAGAAACCAGGTGAACAGTGAATATTTCAGTGCTTATAGGAATTCTGTAGGTTTTCTTCATTTATAAAAATAAACACACAAAAACATTTAAGTCCACTCATATTTGGCTTTTTTTATTTTTTTGTGACAGTGTCTCCCTGTAGCCCCAGCTGGTCTGGAACTTGCTATGTAGACCAGGCTGGCCTAGATCTCACAGAGATCCACCTGCCTCTGTCTCCCTGGTGCTGGGATTAAAGATGTACACGCCCAGTTCAAATATTACAGTTTTATTCAATGAGCCTATAATATTGTGTTATAGATCAATATGAATTTTTGTAAAATCCAAAATGTCTCAAACATTGCTATTACAATTTAAGGTTATTCTTCCCAATTACTATATATATATATAGTTAACCTCTCTATATATGAAATATAGAGAGGTTAACTATATATATAAAACTATAAATAGTTAACCTCTATATATGAAATATGGAAATTTGAAATAAAGGTTATTTCTGAAATAACTGAACACACCATTTTCTATTTTTGACCAATGACATCCTGCATTTTGAGAAAAGTAGACATATCTGACTTAAAGTTCTAAATTTGGAGATTTTTAATGCCCCCATCTTTCCTGGAGCCTTAAAATACCTCATATCCTTTCTTCCTGTTAAATATTAACCTTTCTTGCAAGACCAATCTCAAATGTCATTACTCCTACTTCTAGAAGACTGTGTTAAATGTTTTGAACAGTGTTGATTATCTCCTCTTCAGTGATCTTTGTATTACAGTACTAACACCATTGTGTTTTAATAATGTGTTTTAAAAACATGTGCTTCTTCCAACAAACCTGACTGTTCACAACTAGGAGAATATTGTAGTTTGAGTGTAAGGTATTCCCCTCTAAGCTTCTGTGTTTGAACATTTGCTCCCCAGCTGGTGGTGCTGTTTTAGAAGCTCATAGACCCTTCAGAGAATGCATATGTACTGGAGGAAATGACTCACTGGAGGCAGGTCTAGAGGTTTGCTAGCTGAGCTCCTGTTCCCACTTCCATCTTAACCGCAAATGAGCTATGAACAGCTGACCCCCACCCACTTCTGTTGCTGAGCCTGCCACACCAGGATAGAATTTATCCCCTCACATTATAAGCCAGGATACACCTTTCCTTCTTTAAATTTCTTCTTGTCACAGCAATGAGAAAAGCAATGGGGAACATAAGGTGATTTTAATTTCCTGCTTTCTTCATCCATTCCCTCCAAATCCAGTATTTATAATTTAGTTTCTAGTCAGATAACTTTGTCAATAAACCCAAGTTTCAGAATTTTTATTCAAATACGCCTGCATGAACTTTATCTTTTCTGCATGTAAATTCTCCAACCGAATTTCAGTGTCAAGCAGCTGGCAGGATTTGGCGAAACTGTTTCTCTACAAGCACATGTAATTGAACTGCTCTTACCTACGATGGAGAGAATTACTACCACAAAGTCAAAGATGTTCCACCCTATAGTGAAGTAGTAGTATCTAAGTGAGACGAGCTTCAGCACAAACTCTCCAGTGAACAGGACAATGAACACGAGGTTGATCCGGGACAAAACCAGGGTCATGTATTTGCTCTGATCATCGGTTTCCACCATCATGGTGACCATGTTGAGGCAGATGAGGATCATGATGCTGATGTCAAAGACTTGTCTGGTTACAAAATCAAAGACCATCCCTTGAAATTTGTTCTAGAAAGAAAGAGGACATGAAGTTAGTATATGCATTGCACAAATGGTTGAATAACCCTGCAAATTAGATCTTTCTACATGTGGTCTTGATATGCACCTTCTTCACGTTACATTAAGTAATCTGTGGCTCCATTTAGTTTCACAGTTTTTAAAAATGAAAGCTGGATATCACATGACAGTAAGAAAGCATGTTTGGTTTGGTTATATCTCAGAGAAAGATAAAGTTGAATAAGTGAGAAACTAGTGGCAATTGGTTGACAATACACAGAAGCTGTTTGAGTAACTACAATAATTCTTATACAGTCACAATGAATAAATCTTCACAATAATGAAGATTTATAAAATGGGCAAATACATACTTTAAGAGGAATAGCCTAATTCATTCAAAATAATTTAAGAAATTCCTATTATTCCTTATTTTAATCCCTCAAATTATGTTAGCCACTTTTTATCAATTCTACCTTTTCTAGCTCTGAATGTCTATGAGTTAAGTTGTTAATCTATCTATTTTCCTCTTTATCCATCTCTTTTATCTATGCTTCAATAAAGACAAATGGCAATTTTTTTCTTTCTCTAATTATTTTAGAAAAATGCATACTTTTAAAGAATCCTGTAGGAATATGAATATTAATACAATTTTGGTAGGTAATTTAAAAATAATTTAGAATTAAAGCACAAAATTTCATGGCTTATGGAAAAACCAAAGATCATGAAACTGACACAACTCCGAATTTCAGTGATCTTTGGGGACACAGGCTCTCTCCTTTCTGTGCACCCCCTCTTCCTCCTCTCCTCACCCCTCCAGCTTCAACCACTTCTAAATCCATGGTAGGGTGAAGTCACTGATAGGGTTCATGAACCTTACCAAGTCCCAGCCTGACTTTGTGACCTGGAATACACTACTTGACCTTTGGACCTCTGTTTGCTTCATTTTTAGCTACCTGAGAGGGTATGAGTTAGGACACAGCTCTGTGAGGTGGTCCATCCTCATCATGGCATTCAGCTGTTAGGTAGTGTTACTGAGTATGCATTCTAAATAAACTTTTTCTTTTTTTGTGTTTTGATAAAAAAAAATTTGTTGACAGTCTTCTTTCTAAACTGATTGGGAGTATTGTCTAGTCTCAAGAGTGAGAGAATGCAGAGACAGTGTGTTTTCTCTCAATTGCAGGATCTCTCTCTCTCTCTCTCTCTCTCCTTCTCTCCCTCTCTCTTGTCATGAAAGTAGAAAGGGGACCATGAAACGAGAAAGAGATCTTAAGGGAGGGAGAATGGGGGGAAAGAGGGTCATGGAATGTGTATGATATGAAGAAGGGATTATTTATATGGTGGAAGGAGACCAGAATGAGAGGTGCAGGGGCACAGGGAAGACAGTAGGAGAGGGAAATTAGCATGAAGTCTAATGACAGCTATATTTGAAAATGTCATAATGATACCAGTTACTTTATATGCTATCTTGAAAGCTAGTTAAAAGAAGGCAAAATAAAATGAGATTTTTGCCAGGTGGTAGGGGAAGGAACGAGGAAAGAAAGGGCATAGAGGAGGGAGGTGATGGGGTGAGTCATCTGGAAACCTCCATCTACTTAAAAAGACAAAGACAGTCTGTAAAGATCAGAGGAGCAGGAATCAGCCATCACAGCAGCAGGAGGGTGACTTTGGAAACAGTTCTTGGGAACTGTGAGTTGGAGAGCTTCAACTCAAATATAAAGAAACATTCCCTTATTTTAAGAACTTGCAATTGTTATTGAATATAATAACTGTAGACAGCTTCACAGTATGAATTTTCTAACTAGTGCTATACGTTGGCAACACCATCCAATATGTTCTGATCAAGAGTATTGCCTAATTTTACTACAAATAAAACATTAGCATTTTAAAATATTTTATTTATTATTTTTATTTTATGTGTATGTGTATGAGTATATTGCCTGCATGTATATAAGTGCACCCATGTCATGCAATGTCCATGGAGGGCAAAAGAGGTCATCAGATTACCCTGGAACTGGAGTTACGGACAGTTGTTAGCTGCCGTGTGTGTTCTGGGAATCTAACCCAGGTCCTCTACAAGAGCAGCCAGTGCTCTTAACCACAGAGCCATCTCTCCAGCCCCTACTTTAGCATTTTAAAGAATATAAGATGTCCTTCTTACTGCAGGCCGAGGTATGGGTTTCTGAGGCTTTTTTGAGCCAAGTTTCTTCATTGCATTGTAATATTTTTTCTGTTCCTCTGTCATAAAGATATCTTGACCTCCAAAGTAAAAACATAGAAAAAACTGGTTACAATCCTAATGTGTTACAACAAGATTTTAACCAAAATATTTCTGAACCTTCCTTTAATCTTTTCTCAATTTTAAATGGATATTATCCTGCTAAATATAAATTTATTCTACTTCTGTCTTCTATGTGAAATGCCCAAGACTTTAATATGCAAAAACCATAGGCACATAAAATTCCGATTAGTACAGATCCTAATTGGATTATATTATGTTCACAATGAAGTTTAAAGTTTTCCGACATATTTTCATGGAACCAAGTATATTTTCTTCACCTCTTTCACTGACGACAGTTTTACTGCCTTATTCAACAATTTTAGCATTTTTGTGTGCCAAATAACGTGGTTGGTTTCAAAATTCCATATATATTTAAGACATAGTGTCATGCTCCTGAAGAAGTCAGGATATTGAAAAGGTAGATGTAAAATAAATGACAGCATGCTAAAAAAGAGAAAGAATGAGAAAAAGAACAGAAGAAAGTGAGGGAGGGTTACTGTACATACAACAGTAAGTTCAGAGACCCAGAAACGAGTATATTTAGGGCTTTAAAGAATGATAAAGAGTCTGATGGGCAAAGCATCTCAAGAAGAGAAAAAAGTCCCTTGTAAAACCCTTAAGGAGCAAGTATACAACCAAATTCAGAAAAGATCAGGAAGACTTATAGCTGTCGTGTAGCAAGTGCTGCTGATGAATGATATGGGGGGCTTATGAGTAGGTGATGGTATAGTAGATACAAAATGGGTGGGTGAAGATGAGGCTGAGAAGTGGGTGGAGACAATTCCTGAAAGTCTTTGTAAGCCAGACTAAGCCCTGGAGACCCATTGGATGTCCTGAAATAATAGTTGTCCTAAAAAAATAGTTGTACAGTGGATGAATAATGAGGAGCCCTAAGTAGGGACTATAGCTGAACTGATCACATAGTAATACTGAAAATCATACACACATAATCTAAGTATGTCAAAACTCTAAGTGTCTGGTCATTTGGCTGTATAGCAGATGAACATAGGAAGGGCAGAGTATGAGGAATACTTATCTTCTTTTTTTGCTGGTTGAAGTTATCTATGATGACACCAATGAATAGATTCAGCGTGAAGAATGATCCAAAGATGATAAAAATGACGAAGTATAAATACATATACAAATTCTCTTCATATACAGGCTGAAGTTTGACCTAAACAATAGCAAAGATACTGAATAACGTTAACAAAATGGCTACTTACACTAAATAATGTAGTGAGTGCTGTTACTTAATGTGAAGTTGCTTTTACATCGTCTTAAAAATATTATTTTACAAAACAATCCTTTTCTCAAAGTAGCATGAAAAATTGAAACTTTCACGGTTGTAATCGAATATATTTTTCCATTGTATCTTACCTGACAGTCCTTCAGATAATTAACACCTGATATAAATACAGCAAATAATCTGTGTCTATTATTATTGTTGTAGATTTGTACTATTTCAGTTTGTATTTGAAAAAGATTTAATAGCAGAGCATCAATAAAGAGAAAAATACAACTTGAACAAAGGTATTCTAAGGAATTCTTTTTATTTCTATTTTCAAAATTTAGTTTCCTTGAAATTTGCTTACTTTTCTGTAATATTCTTGGAAGCTGCTTTGAAAACTGGTTTAGCATGCTCTTCAGAGAAGCAGATAAGTTATTTCTCCACTGAGCTATTTTCTCACTCTGAATACTCCATTTGCAGGACAAATCGAATGTCTTGTCATCCATGTAGTTAAGAAATCTTTTCACAGTGCATACAGGTTATCTCTTATGTATTAGAGCTATAGTAACCATCATATTATCTATATAGGAATCCCTGTCTCTAAACAACCATGTCTAAATGCACTGATATTTCTACTATATGTCATATAAAATTCTGAGTCTCTTGGTTAAATTGTCACCAGTGCTTACCATGGACAATTTATTAACTATAAAGAGACAGTATCCAGGTGATACTTACATCTCGTGAGTCAACAGCTGCATACATAATATCCATCCAGCCTTTAAATGTGGCCTGTAAATAACATATATTATAATTATATATGAATAGCTCACCCAAGACCATTACATTTTACCAGATGAAAATATGACAGTATTATCATAAATATCTTTTTGTACAATATCATGAAATTTTCTATACAGGTGTTGAAATGAACTGAATGAAGAAATGAAATTGAAAAAATTTTGAAACTGAAAAATATTTCTATTTACTGTCTGGATCCTGTTTTTGTTGCTTCTCTTTTTGTTGCTTCTCTTGGAATGTATTCCACTCTTTTTCTATAGCAAAACGTGGCAGGAGATTTGATTGATGAAAATCCCTCTCAGTTTCATAACTTTTCATATCAGAAGATAAAATCTGTGGTTCAGCTTACCCAGCTGTGAATTCTGCATGTTTCAACAACTATCCCGGCAAGATATGACTTCTAATTCAATAGTAGCATGAATATTATGGGAGTAACAATCACCTTTCTAACTGGATTTAAGGTCTGCTTCTTAAGAGGGAGCCCGTACCTGACACTGATATCTGTCCTAGGAACATGTGACTAGAGAAGGTCACAGGCCGTAGGGGAGAACTTGATACTATTATTCTGCTAAATAGATATGGTAGTAGAGACTCCTAATGACTTATTTTACACCCATAGATTAATGCATCTCTCCATCCTCACCAGAGAAGCTTCCTCATGCAGCAGATGGTGATTAACACAGAGACCCACAATTGGCCAACATGCAGAGAAAAAGAGACTACAGAATTATTATCCATGAATTGAACAGCTCTATCAAACTTCTGACTCCAGAGGCTCAGGGATCATTACAGAAAGGGAGGCCGAAAGATTGTAAGAGCCAGAGGAGGTGGATGACCACAAGGAAACAGAGTTTTCCAGACAGCTTGCAAGTTACTCATATATACTCACAGCAATGGTCACAACATGCACAAGTATCCTGTAAGTTCAAGTCAGACAAAATACCAGAGTAGATGTGGGGAAGTGTGTAAGAAACCCCAACGCTACTTGAAAGACTTCTGGAAACTGATGGCAGCTGGCAAGGGGAGTCAGTCTCTTTTTTATGGATTTGACTCTTGCTAGGTTAGCTAGGCGCGAGTAAGTGGATCCACACTGAAGGATACTTAGGGACACAAATTTGACTTTATAAGCATATATATATATATATATACACACACATGAAATTGGGTGAGAGTAGTAAGGGGGTGTACACAGGGGAGATCTAAATACAATTGAACTATACTGCATGAGATTCACAAAATTTCAATAAAATAGGGGAAAAAAATCTGTGGTTCAAGCCTGTGGTTGTGTTTAAATACACCCCATCTTCAATAATAACCAACTAGCACATATATTATCATGAGGTTAAAAAAACCAATTAGACATTATATATTTTGAAAAATTTTCCTTAAGCTGTGTGTTTCCGCACATAATGACATCACACTATTATAGACATTGCTAGAAAAAGGAATCTAGCTAATAATTCACACATTTTATTCATAACTGCAATGTCTAATGTTCAGTAATAGAACAATAAAACTATAGGAAAAAGAAATATAAAGTCTATGAAAGCATTCAAAAAGGAACTCTTGCAGAAAAATGAAACAACTGAAGTGTCTCCCTCATAGTCCAGAAACTAATTTGAGCTACTTTCCTACTATCAAATAGGAATTGTCCAAAGAACATCAGAGGAACAGTCTTATCTGACGCAGTCTGAAATGCTTCCAGGTCTCAACCACTTACCACTTGCAGCAGTGCCAGATAGCCCGCTCCAACATTATCAAAGTTGACTTTCACATTCTTCCACCGTGCTTGCTTGCCAAGGGCCTGACAGTCACTGAAATTGTTGACTTCGCTCACTTCAAACATGTTGCCTGTTGTCATGTTAACACAATGATAGAACTTTCCAGCAAATAGATTCACACCCATGATACTAAAGATCAGCCAGAAGATGAGACACACCAGCAGCACATTCATGATGGACGGGATTGCTCCAACAAGAGCATTCACAACCACCTGGAAAATGTCGGAGACCAGGGAGCAGCTGGTTAATGTGGAAGCCATTCCTGGTGTGTTCTTACACTAAAACATGTCTGGAAGGGGTCAAATGATAATCTAGGTGGATTTCTAGTTCTAGGATGTTTCTTCTAATGTTTTCTAGTATACATTTGATAAGAGAAAACAAATGATTTGATAAGGGAAAGCAAGCAGCTAAGGATAAAAGAAAAAAAACCACCAAAGTATGAAAAGAAATGAACAAAAACCTGATAGTAAGATGGACTCAGAATAAAAGTATGCTGAGGAAAAAAAGGGGGTGGGGGAAGAAAGGTGCATTAAATGCCAAGAGAAGAAGCAATCATCTTGCAGTAATACATTCTAATTTCCAAGAACATGACGGAATGAACAATGATTTGAAAGAGTGAGCAAGCCAACCCTTCACAAATAAAGCATCAAACTGTATTAATTAATATAACTAGGAATTACAGATCCTTTTGCTTATTAGTAAATCCTAGTTTTTAAAACATAGATGAGGGCCCCAGCATGGTGGCACATGCCTTTAATGCCAGCATTCAGGACAGAGAGGCAGGCAGATCTCTGTAAAATAGAGTCCAGCCTGGCCCACACAGTGAGTTCCAGGCCAGCTGGGGCTACAGGGAGACCCTGTCTCAAAAGGAAAAAAAAAAGTATACTGAAATAGGAAAAGAGTGATTTATCTGTAGTGAATTCATCCGCTCATTATTATTTCACAGTCTCGTGAGTGTTCTCCTGAGCCTGTGCTATTTCTTTGAACTAGGTTGGCCTGTTTGAAGGAGAAACTCAATCACCTTTCATTTCTCTGAATTGAGGAGAGATTAAGATATATTTTAAAATCTCAGGAACAGCAACAGTAGCTTTTCTTACCTGATTTATTCTGGTTTGTATTGGGCTGCTTTGGTAAGTATGTGTTCAATGAACCCTTTAAACCATTAACTATCATTTTAAAGAATGATAAACAGTTTACAAATCAACAGAAAGAATTTAAAACACGCACCAAAATCTGAAATCCAAAATTATCAAAATTTCATACACTAATTGAATTTAATTTCCTTTGGAGGTTAAATCATGCATATTATATTTGTTAGATTTGTCTTTTTCCAGATTAAGATTATGTAAAATAGGCCTGTTGTGGTGGTACGTGCCTTTAATCCTTTAATCCCAGCACTTGGGAGGCAGAAGCCAGAAGGTCTCTGTGAGTTCAAAGCCAGCCTGGTCTACATAGGAAATTTTAGGCCAGCCAGGTCTACATAGTGAGACCATGCCTCAAAACAAACAAACAAACAAACAAACAAACAAACAGTATGTAAAATAACCTCTCTGTACCTCTACAAACTCTCCTGCCAAGTTTTCAGTCCTGCACAATTGGTATCTTCCTTCTGGTGTAAATTTTTAATATCAAAACATGAAACGAGATGTAAGTCTATCAGTAATGAAAGAAGATTGTTCAGAAAAGAACTTGAAATTGGATAATGATCTTTATGAATTTGTTAACAGTAGCAATGAAATCAAATCTACCACTTGAAGGGTGAGTGCATCTCTGCTCACAGTGCTTCTGGAGCGGATGGCGAGTGCTTTCATTTTCCTTAGTGAGTAAATTTTACAGTCAAGGCTGACAGGTTTTTATTGCCCTAAACAAACCACCTCCTAACATAAAAACCCTGTGGCCTTGAAGAAATCCAATATTCATGTGCATTTGCAAAGCAGATTAAACAAAGCTGGCTTTTGTGCAAAACAGTACTGGAGGCGTGGCAACTGTGTATTTTATGTTGAGAGGCATGATACTCTTACTAAGGAAGAGAACCTGAGAGGAAAATGCAAGTGCTTTGGAAAAAGTGAAGCTCACTCAGAAGGTGGACTTGAAGATCTGTCAAAGTATGGGCTTGCGGGAAGTACTTAATCAGTTACCCTATAACATCTTACTTTGATTCTGTATAATGTAACCGTTTTGCTGGATGCTATAATTTAATGTTTGTTTCTTGTAAAACCACAATGTGTCTTGCGTATATTAATTCAAGAATTAAGCTCTCCCAAACCACTTGGCTTTTTATTAATTATTGGTACTTTTGGCAGAAGCACTTATCTACTGAGAGGAAAAGGTTCTGGTAGGATGAATGTGTAGTCAGACAACAGTCATTCCAAACTGCACAAGCAATGAAGATCAATGGCACTACATGGTTTTATATACTGTGGAGAAAATGCCTGAACCCTGATCTCAAGACCGAGGTGCTGGCCTTAGCTTTGCCTCAATTCCTGAGAGCATGGTTAAATAAAATGCAGTTTCAAGAACTGCTTAATGCTCTCTGAGACTGTATTTCTGGTACAAGAAAGATGGCTCAGCAGTTAAGAGCACTGGCTGCTCTTTGCAGAGGACCCAGGAAGGGTTTGGTTCCCAGCACTCGCATGGTAGCTAACAAACATTCTTTAATTCCAGTTCCAGAGGAACCAACTCCCTCTTCTTGCCTTGATGGGCATTGCATGCACGTGGCACACAGATACATGCAGGCAAAACACTCATACACATAAAATAAAAAATTAAAATTAATAAAAGACCATAGCATTGAAAATTGTTAATCCCAGAACAAGAATTTAAAGAGGCTACTGTGTCCTGTACCTGGATCACTCCGTACACCTAACTCTGATTTGAATTTTAGAGAAAAAATCACCTTGTCTTCTTACCCTCATGCCTTCAAACCTGGATAAGGCTCGCAGAGGTCTCAAAGCTCTTAATGTCCTCAGGGATTTGATGGCACCAAGTTCTGAGTAGCCAAGAGCATTGGCTACCAAGCTAACCAAAGACACCTGCAAAAAGAAAAAAAAAATTAGTCAACTGCAAAATAAACTGATGAATAAAGGCACAGAAGGTCCTGTCTGCTCCTTAGTGACAATCAATTAAAGTGGAACCCCAGCCTTGCCTTCCACACTATTAGATCTGACACTGCTCACATCATCTCCTGTTTTCCTTATGGGTGAAAATTGTACACTTGCCCATATTTAGTAACATTTGTAAATCTCTCCAGCTAGGTATTCCATGCCATAGATGTCTTTGCAAATTGCGTATATACTTATCACTGATAATTCAGGGCTGAGTTCAAAGCCTGAGCCTCCATATATATGTGCTTAATGTTGCTGACTAAAAATCGGACTCTCTCCTGAATTTTGTAGCATCATGCTTATGAATACTATTAACATTTGCCGTGGACTGGAGGTAGCTGGTTAGGTATTTTGTCTCCCCTTCCATGTCAGGTAAGCATTTTATCAGCCAAGGTGAAACACTCTATTCTTTTTTTATTTTTAAAAATTTTATTTATTAAGAACACAAATAAATGACTTAACACTCCAACTCAACACACTTGAAAAGCAACAGCAAACAAAACCCAAACCCTGCAGACAAGAAGAAATAACAAAAATCAGGGCAGAAATCAATGAAATTGAATCAAAGAAAACAATACAAAGAATCAACAATACCAAGAGCTGGTTCTTTGAAAAGATAAACAAAATTGACC